TTTTCACAAGCAGAAATGTTTGTAAAATGGGACCCTTGGTCCTTATTCATCCAAGCAATATCATACAGACATGAACAAAACTTTTGGCAACAGAGAGGTTAGGTTACATTTCAATTTCACTGTAGAACACACACCTTTACTCCAGGACTGCAGAGTATTTCTGTGTGCGTGTGCAAAAGTCCCCCATCCAGGCTCTGAACATGATCTCCACTGTGAGGAGAAAGGAAGGGTACATTTTCTTCTGGAGGACTTCCAAAATTCCACAACTTCTGCGAGCAAGGATAATCTTTTCAGGGGGTCAACGAAAAAAATGTGTTTAATCACATGAGGCATGACATGGCTTCTTTAGTTTAGCACCGACCATGAGCTTCCGTGCTTAAGCAGACCACTCCACAAGGCTGCCAGACGCTCTACTTGGTCTCCCGTTCCCTTTGTGTTTTCGATCTAAACTGTAAGTGTCCCTTATGCGGATGCATAGGCGGAAGGGAAGCTCACTGAGCTCTCATGCCCTTCCAGCAAGCAGGATGACTTTTGCCACCATAATCTCCAAGTAAATTGCATAAAGCTGTTAACATTTTTACAGGTGACTGCATAACGTTATCGCATAAATGTATTTGACAGATTAATGTATTTTACACAACTTCCCTAGAAAACAATATAAGCAGTATCAATAAATGAAAAGCAGTGTACTTCATTATGTTTTATAATTTATAATTCATATTTATATTAAAATCTGTGACCCATCATAGCATTGTAGATGTATAAACCAACTTTTGAACGGCGGGCAGATGGAAACAAATTTCTAAACTTTTCCTGTGTTGGCATTTCACTGATGTGGGAAGCACAACGCAATAACCCTCGCCCCTTGCAGATAATGACATAAAATTGTACACTTCATGAAACTGTGCACTTCTTTGCAAGAAGTTAGGCTAACGGTAATTCCTGTTTTTATTCTGATGAACAAGTCACTGTTTATAATGCTGAGAAAAAGCCTTCTTGCTCTACCAGTGAAATATGCATTAAATCAAGCAGCATAATGTCAATGAATTAACAACTAATGGACAAAGAAATCATACTTGACTAGTTTAGGCAGTTTTAGTTGATTGCCCAATTCTGAACTCATAGAGTTTTGCACTGATACAACCAGAGGTTACAAAGGTAACACTCCCTATTTACAAAAACCTTCCGGCTTCCCTTTTCCAAAAGTTAGTTCAACTGCTTCGTTAACTTGTTTAGAGATGCTTTAAATCTCTGAATACCTGCTTAGAAGCTTAGCCTACTCACGCACCTTACTTCAGATGTCAGATCTTATTGGGCATTTATGTACTTCGCAAAGCCCTCCTTGTGTTGGGTCTAGCACTTCAAAATACCTTCGTACAGAACGCGTGAGAAGTTACACTGATTCTACATTGAAACAGTTTCGTATTCATCAGCGTCTGCAGGATTGACCTATTTGTCCTTACAAATGTGAGTAGAGTTTAGATTTTAAAAATCCCCCGTACAGCAAAGCCATTTTATTGATTGAGAATTAAACACCCCCTCCGATACTTTCAATGCAGACAGCAAATAACACAATAGAAAACAAACTGACTTTGAAATTGTCTTGAGAAAAAGAGTGAAACTGGCATCTTGATTTTACCTGTTCAAATCGTGTGCAGACACTAAACAAATGCTGTCAATGTAGTCTGTTACCATACCAAACATTACTAACTCAGATAAGGCTCTTCTAAAATAGGTTGTTTAATCGTAAGGTTAATAGAAATTTTCAATTTAGTCTTTATGCCTAATTTTGGCAGACTGAGAATATTTCTCCATGAATCTTCATATGATTTTAATGTAAGAAGTTGTGTTATGTTTGGACAGGATATATTGGAGAAGTTTAATGAAAATTGGATACAATATTTTGGACTCCCAGCATGTTACATCTCAAAAGAGCTTTAATTACAGTATAGTTGATATAAGTTGGTTCTGGTGTCTTTAATTAGTTTTGAGATGAGTTTAATTAGTTATTAAAATTGGCATCCAAGCACATCTGGAGCACAGTGGTGTTTTAAATACTGACTAATCATTTAGGGTGAGCTTCAGCTTAATGTTTTAGTGCAGTTTAAATAAAATATCAGTGTTCAGTCATTGCAGGAACAGGAGCATGGATGCATTAAGGTTCTTGTCCCCAGCACTCTATTATCTAACTGGTTGTTAAAATGCACCCTAAATTTTGACTGTCATCAATAAAATGATTCTGAGCATTATTTTTGGCTTCCAACCCCACTCCGGCCATGCCTCAACACTAAATCTAACTGCACGGCCCCTGTTACTGCACTGAAAATACTGCAGCTACGTAGCAAAACACTGACTTAATATAAATTTGTGCTGCTCGCTTAAGTGTATTTTAAAAAATTGACAGCAGCCTTGATGCTGGATCAGGTAGTGTCTGTCTGTATGACCTGCAGCCAGGTCACACATTTGTGGCACAAAAGCGACGTGACACGTAAAGGTGACGTGTTTCTGTCCGCACCTGATCTAGACCACATCTGTGGCGCAGGATGACCCGGTGGCACACGTATCTGTTACTGACAGCCAAGGCACTGCGGCCCGACTCGGTCGAACTGGAGTATCCACCTAAGCCAACCCTTCTGTGCCGGTTTGAAGTCTTGCTGCTGTTATTCGGTGGCTAAACCGAGGCCGTGGTTCCGTGATGCCATCCCTCGGCAGCAGGTTCGTTTGAACAGGTTGCGTGCCCGAGCGTCCCGCAGGTCCGATCCCATTCCCCTTTGGCTCTTCAGGCGCTTGTGCTCTCCCTTGGCTGCAGACCTGAAAACAGCTCGCCCACCAGAAAACTTCAGCTCCCCTAAACATGCTTGGTTTTTTAACGTGGCTCAGGGTGGACACCCGTTCCGGGGTGCGAGCACCCCAGCGGCGGGCTCGGCGCAAGCCAGG